CTTGTACACTTCATTTTGGATCGATAACCAACCACCAACTTTTAAGGAAAATAAGGGTTTTTCCTAGGATAATTTCACTTTTCATAAACAGGCTGTTTAACCAATGGATAACTAAGCTTCTTTTATAAGAAAATATGGGATTTTCTTAGATAACAACTTTTTCATAAAACCGAAGGAAAACTTATTCTTTCACCATAATCAAACTGCTTATGAACTCACCAGCTTTATGTTGATATTTTAAAACTGCTTGTATTCTCAGGTTCTCGTTAGACATGTATCCCGCGTTCTTTTGCAGAAGACAGAGCGTTTAGAAGTCTCGTCTTTACTTTTGTTATATTAATGTATATGTAAACATGTATTACCCTGCTTTCAAAAAAATATGTAAATATTCCTATGTAATGTAATGGTTGTGCTTACTTTGCTTGTTATGTACATTGGTTGTGATACTTTACATGACGTCCTCCGCCCCGGAACGTTTCTGCCATCGGTTTTGGGGTGAGACAGATATTGACCATAACTTTATGCCGTTTTCCTTGCCCAAGCTTGCCTCACCAGCAAGTCTATTGTCTCATCCCAACAACATTTTTTCTACACATTAACAATATAAACATAAGTTGAAGTGTAAATTTTTACCAAACAAGACTTTATAACTTATTGTTACCTGAAACTCCTCACAATATGATTCGTGTATTTATTTGCTTACTTGTGCCCAAGCGTACTCTTCTGGATCTACACTTTGTTTAAAGGACTCACTAATAACGTGTGCACAAGGGCCTGGTGGCATTAGCCTATAAGTGATCATGTGATGTGTTATGTTAAGAATTGATATGTAGGTGTAAACCAAAATTTAATACATAAAAAAAAGTTGTAATTAAGATTTGAATTGGTAACTCATATATTTTTTTAAACATGAACATTAAAACATCCATCTGGTCCACAATCTTCAGAGGAATTGTTTTCACCTTCTACACTTTCCACTATAGATCCATTCATGGGTGGCTGTGTTGGTGATGGAGTAGATTATGGGATAGGTGTTGTTGATGGGATATATTCTAGGGTAGGTGTTGGGATAGATGTATATGTTGAGGATGTGGTAGTTCCTTTAATTAAGGAGGGTGTGGTAGTGTATTGTAGTTGTGGAGGATGGTAGTGTAGATGTAGGTTTTAAGGTTGTGGTAGTAGATATAGGTGTTGATGATGTGGTAGTGGGTGTTGGTGTTGAGGATGGTTTAGATAATGTAGGTTCTGAAGTTTTCGGTATTGATGTTCGTGTTGACGATTGTATTGTTCAAGTTTCTGAAGTTTTAAATGTTTTTTTAAGGAGGGTGTGGATGTTTTAAGTGATGCCGAGGAAGTGGTAGTCATTGGTGATGTTAATGATATAGATTTAGGGGTTTTGTTGGTAGATGTTATAGGTGCTTTCGATGTGGTTGTTGGTATTGGCAAGTCAATTTCTTCATCTTGTAACTGTATGTTTAGGAATTTTGCAGCATAAATCCTGTTGCATTTCATAACTTGTGGTGCAATGAATTTTGTTGGCTTCACACTGGATGCTCCTTTTGGTTTCGGGGTCGACATCTTTCCGACACAAACAATAAAAATAAATTATATATGAAGGCATTACTTTTCATGAAAACTATTGAATACAATCAAAACCAATTTACATGAAGATGATAAGAGAACAAAAGAAGATCGACCATCACGACTACAATAAATTAAATAAATATAAATTTTAGACGAGTGACAACCTATATTGCCAAATTCAGTGCACAAACGTATAATGAACAAAGATTTCGATCAATAAGCCGCCTGAGATGATGATTACAAAAAATGTAAACCCTATTTCTAATTGGTAAACTTAATTACCCTAATATGCAGCATAAACGTGTGTAGGTTGGAGGGAAACGAATTGTGAAATACTTTGAACCTCCGCTAATAAAAAATTCGAATTGTGCTAATTACCGCTAAATATTTAGTAGTTCAAATTTATTTAAAGTAGTTACAGATTGATAAATAGGGTATATACATATAAATAACCTCAAGAAAGAACATAGAGTAACGATGTGTTCATAGTATAATTTGAACTTAAAATTATATATGAGGACTAAATATTAATAAAGTATACATCTTTATGGTTTTCTGTTTAAACAAAAATTTATATAGAAAATAGTACAGGTCATGTCAATATATATGATAGTAGCTTATGGTGTCCATGGATGAAATACGGGTCATTGGTCAACATGGTAGTTGATTATGGTGTCCATGGATGACATATGGATAACATATGGCCCATTGGTTGACATGGTAGTGGCTTTTTGTGTCCATGGATGACATATGGTTGATTGGTCCACATGGTAATGCCTTATGGTGTCCGTGGTTGACATATGGATGACAAGTCAACATGTTAGTCGATTATGGTGTTCATGGATGACATATGGGCCATTGGTCGACGTGGTAGTGGCTTATTGTGTCCATTCATGGCATATTGTTGATTGGTCCACATGGTAATGGCTTATGATGTCCATAGTTGACATAAGGATGAGAGGTCAACATGGTAGTCAATTATGGTGTCCATGGATGACATATGGATGGCATATGGGCCATTGGTCGACATGGGAGTGACTTATGGTGTCCATGGATGAAATACGGGTCATTAGTCAACATGGTAGTTGATTATGTCCATGGATGACATGTGGGCCATTGATCAATATGGTGGTTGCTTATGGTGTCCATGGATGAAATACGGGTCATTGGTCAACATGGTAGTTGCTTTTGGTGTCCATGGATGATATATGGGCCATTGGTCGACATGGCAGTGGCTTATTGTGTCCATGGATGAAATACGGGTCATTGGTCAACATGTTAGTTTATTATGATGTCCATGGATGACATATGGGCCATTAGTCAATATGTTAGCAGCTTATGGTGTCGATGGATGAAATACGAGTCATTGGTAACACATGGTAGTTGATTATGATGGGCATGGATGACATATAGATGACATATGGGCCATTGGTCAATATGGTAGTTGCTTATGGTATCCATGGATGAAATACAGGTCATTAGTCAACATGGTAGTTGATTATGATGTCCATGGATGACATATGGGCCATTGGTCAATATGGTAGTTGTTTATGGTGTCCATGGATGAAATACGGGCCATTGGTCAACATGAGAGTCGATTATGGTGTCCATGGATGAAATATGGGTGATTGGTCGACATGGCAGTTGCTTATAGTGTGATGGTATCACCCATGAATGAAATATGGATCATTGGTCAACATATATCATTTGTGTCGGTTGTGTATTAAAATTTACAATTTTCAAATAATTAATTTTGTAAGAAATATTAATTTTTTAAATAATTTATGGTACCCGATTAATCCTCGCTGAGTTTGATTAATAGTTTATCGCCAGTCAGCCAACGACCGACGGGCGAGCGATTTTTACAACCTTGATTAAAATAGAAATTGATTTTTCTTTTAAATATGACTTTTTACAAAACTACCCTTACTAATTAAATATGAGTCATTGTATGTATTAGGACAATTTGGTCATTTTATAATGGAACTTCTTCTAGGTGCCATAAACTTTTCCGATGAAACATGTTGTTTCAGTTCTTCACTCTTATTTCATTCACTTGCAAACAACCCCAATTTCAATATTCTGACAGTCAAAAAAAGCTAAAATCATTTTTGCTGAATCGTTATCTTAGTGAATGTTTATTATTATGGAGGCCAATACTTCTTCTATAATATATAGAAGTATTGAAAAATAATAAATATGATTTTTATAACTCAGAACCCCTCTTTTGTTTTTTATTTGTGCCTAATAACAATAAAAAAAAAACTAATAGTAACTAGTAATACAAATTTTTTGTAACTTCATGGGGGATGTTGTTTTACAACATAGGTCGTTCACGAATGTTTCTAGAATTTATTTACTAGTGTAACTATTTTATATGCTTTGACACTCTATTTTCTTATTATTTTCATGTAAAAATAAAGAAAATATATATTGAGCTAAAAAATTTCCACAATGCATCTTTATAAAATTTAATAACAATGAAAAATCGTTTTCTTATTTTTGATGTCGAAAAACATGCCTAAAGGCTCAATAAGTTATAGAGAAAACTTGGTTCTTGTGATTTTGATAAAGATTGAGTAAGGAGAAGAGTCTAGTGGCAAGCATGGAGAAGGGGATGTGTGATTCCAAGAAGAGCATACGTATGTACAAGCTATTGGTAGTTATTCTAGTTGTTGGGTATATTTGTTTTGTTTTTAAGTTAGCTAATTAGTGTTGGGATGTGAAGCTTTTGGTGTAGCTGTTAGTGTAAGGTGTATGTATTGGGATGTGAAGGTTTTTTGTATCTTTTGTAAATTAAACCTAAAGTGGTAATGTGCTACATTTTGTATCTTATGTAAAATCCCAATGACAATTGGTAGTTAGCTTTAATGTAAATTCCTAAAGACATATAACTGGAATGGAAAAGTTTATGTGGATAATGGAATGGAATTGTTTATGTTATTTAAAGGAAACATGCATGTATGGTTTAATTTCCCTATATTAATATAATTATATTGGTTGCAGTGGTCCATGTGAAAGTACCAATTGTATGGGGACCATTTGCATACATAGTGCATGTTTTATAATTAAGGAAATAGGACCTTTCAACCTATTAAAGTAATATATCCAATACCATATACCACATTGACATTCATGCACATAATTTCAAACCATTCCATGCAGAATATATAAAAAGTCATCACCTTTTCTTATAGTTAACCACATTAAAATAAAACATTCTTTAATGAACTTAAAATGGCAACATACTATCATAGTTGCCAAAAATTACCATATTACCCAAACAGAAACACATAGTCAAAATTATCATCATCCTAATAGACTTACATTAAATCCATATTACACAAACACAAAGTGAAATACACTAACCATAACACCCTACCCTAATCAATTATAAGAGCTTTTCCTTTGGAATTTCATGTATCATTAACACCACCAACTGTCTTTCCTAATTTGATCTTCATTATTCTCTCTAACTTTCTTCTCCTTATCCTCTTCAAAATATCTGAAATTGGTCTAACCTGTTGCACTTGCATGTTAGGAACCTCAACAGCTTCCTTAACCACAACATTAACTATACCCTGACCATCTTGAAACACAATATTATCTTGACCCTTACCATCTTCAACCACACAATTAGTATGAACCTGACCATATTCAATCACACAATTAGCTTTACCATGACCATCTTCAACAACGCCATTTGCTTCACCCTGACCACCTTGAACATTTCAACCTTAACATCCTCACCAACAAAATCTTCAACTTTATAACTTCTATGAGGAGTCACTTGCATATATTGACCATAACCCCCTGGACTACTAGATTCGAAATCATTAGGAGTAGCTTGGTAATCATTTCGAGTAGTATCCACCTGAATTAGAGTCAATTCAACCTTGTCACGTTGTTGAGCTTCACTTGTACTACTTGTCACACCCCGAAACCGAAGGCGGAAACATTCCGGGACGGAGGACGTCATGTAAAGTATCACAACCAATGTACATAGTAATCATAGTAAAGTAAAGATGATACGGCTAAAATGCTCCGTCTTCTCCAAAAGAACGCAGGATACCTATCTAACGAGAACCTAAGAATACAAGCAATTTTAAAATATCAGCATAAAGCTGGTGAGTTCATAAGCAGTTTGTTTTTGTAAAAGAACAAGTTTCCTTTGGTTTTCTGAAAAAGTTGTTATCCAAGAAAATCCCATATTTTCTTATAAGAAAAGTTTAGTTATCCATTTGTTACACAGTCTGGTTAAGAACAGTTAAGTTATCACAGGAAAAACCCTTATTTTCCTTAAAAGTTGGTTATCGATCCGGAATGAAGTATACAAGTATCTACAATACTTTTAGCGTTAAGAGAAGTATCCTGAAAGCCGGATTATCCAAGAAAAGTACAATAGTTTTAACACATATATAAAACTAATAAGTAGGCGGTAAACTAATTACTAAAGTAAATCTCCATAATCTAAGTTGCGAGTTCCATAACCATACAATAAACTAGATAAGGCTCGTAACGGGGCCAGTATCATTTTATGACTTTTGTCACCTGTGGACCAGTCGGTCCCACTATAGCTAGCAGCCAGGTGCGGGGGAGTCAATCCCGTATAGATCTATACACTCAGGTCACGTTCTCCCTCCAATAGATTCTGGTTAAAGGGGTAGTCCTACACTCTCGTATCAAGGGGGAGTGTTACCAAGGGCGTGTCTCCAATCTTAAGATCAATGAAACTCTAAAAGAAATCATACGGAAAATCCTGTTTTATTAGTCCTTCACTCTCGTATCTAGGGGGAGTGTTACCAAGGACATGTTTCCAGTTCGAAAATTTATGTTATTGGTCCTTCACTCTCGTATCTAGGGGGAGTGTTACCAAGGACGTGTTTCCAGTTCTAAGATTAATGATTTTACAAGTAACGATGTGGAAAATCATTTGTGAAATATAAAATATAACATTTTATAATGATTTTCACAATTAGTTTGAAAATTAACTTTGCAAGTTAAACGGTCGGTTAATACGCTTTTCAGTGTTAAAAGCATAAGGATTATGAAATATTTCATACACAATAATAAGTTTGACTACAAGATTTCCTTGTACTTTTGCTTGTATTCTAAAAGAAATTATACGGAAAATCATGTTTTATTAGTCCTTCACTCTCGTATCTAGGGGGAGTGTTACCAAGGACATGTTTCCAGTTCGAAAATATATGTTATTGGTCCTTCACTCTCGTATCTAGGGGGAGTGTTACCAAGGACGTGTTTCCAGTTTTAAGATTAATGATTTTACAAGTAACGATGTGGAAAATCATTTGTGAAATATAAAATATAACATTTTATAATGAGTTTCACAATTAGTTTGAAAATTAACTTTGCAAGTTAAACGGTCGGTTAATACGCTTTTCAGTGTTAAAAGAATAAGGATTATGAAACATTTCATACACAATAATAAGTTTGACTACAAGATTTCCTTGTACTTTTGCTTGTATTCCCCCCCCCCCCCCTGAAAACATGAAAAACACAGAAAAAGGTGTAGGGGTATGAACTCACCAGACGTGAAATGTGTCGGATATGATGCTAAGTATCAGTTTAGGGCTTGAACGCGCGCGAGGTTCCTATGTAACATGAGGAGATACATAATTGTATATAATTAGACATTGAAATACTAATTAAGTAAGATAATACACTCCAAGGCGCGAAAACACTTGATTCCAAGTGTTAGGAATGATACAGGTTACATCTAAGAGGGTGTAGGGTCTAGATATGGATTTTACTCTTCAAGAGTAAACTCTTAGATGAGATTAAGGCTCATAGACCATATCCCCATGAGTTTATAGCCGTCAACCCATGGGTGGTGTGTTCTTGGATGCTTAAAGGTCTTACAACACTTGTGGAATTAGGATAGGTTCAATTCTAGGGCATTGGAAGTGATTAAATCATCAAATGGGTCATATATGGGAGTTTACAGCTATAAACATATAGCTTACGGCTGTAAACTCTTACTTGTCCCTTCCTTTTGTGTTTTGATGGTTCTAGTTTAAGCACACATGATTCTAGTCCAATATACAAACCATAGAAGGAAGTTAGGGCACCATTTGACCTCTTTAGAGGAGTTTACACCCAAGGAACCAATCCTAAGGGGGTTTGTGGTCATAATCTCCTAAGTTCATTGTTTCGTTGATGCTTAAGGTCCCTACTTCGATGGTTGTTGGTTCTACACATTATTCGAATCCATAGGAGGTGTTTAAGGGGAAACTTAACACTTTAAATGGTGTTTACGGCTTATGAATGAGTGTTTACGGTCCAAGAATGTTATTGGGCCATAAACTCAAGTTTACTCCCCAAATGACAAGATTTTGGTGATCTAAACTCGTACATGCAAGTCCGTAAGTCATAGCTAAGCACTAGAAGTGATTTGGAAGTGTTTTGGGGCTTCAAAACCACATTTATGGGTATTTGCGGTTTGGGGTTGTTCCTGGGCTGTAAACACAAGTTTTTGATATTTTTGGATGATTTAAACATGGATTTGCATGCTAAAAAAGCTAAACTATAAGCTAGGATAGATCACTTACAAATTTGGAGCTTGAAAGGGGTGTTTTTGATTAAATTTGAGTTGAAGAGAGAGAGAGATGTGAGAGAGAGGGTGTTAAGAGAGTGAAAATATTCAAATGAAGTCAACTCACCCTTAAATAGGGTTTGAGTTTGTGGCTCGGCGGAAATCTACCCGATACCGACGTTAAACGGAGCTTATAGTCGTACCCGATAAATTGTCGTAACCCGATGTGGTCGTGAATTAGAAACCTTTAAAAAGAATATCGAGGGTGTTTTCACGTGATTCTAATGCGTTCCATCACTTATGATGTCAAAATAAAAGTCCCAATTTAATTAACTTAATCCAAATGTTAACGGAAAATGTTAATAAAAACTAGTTTATTAATGGAAAAAAGAGGATACAATGACGGGATAAATTTCAGGTTGTCACATCACCCCCCTGTTAGCGGAAATTCCGTCCCGAAATTTAAAATTAAGATACAAATCATGGATTTGGAAAGAGATGCGGATATTTCTGCTTCATCGAGTCTTCACGCTCCCAAGTGAATTCGGGTCCCCGCTTGGCATTCCAGCAAACCTTCACTATCGGGATGCGGCTTTGTTTCGTACGTTTGATCACTTGATCCATGATTTCGATTGGTTCTTCCACAAAGTTCAGACTTTCATTGATCTTGATCTCATCAAGATGGATCATGAGAGTTTCATCGGATATACAATTTTTAAGATTTGAAACGTGGAAGACAGGATGGATAATGCTAAGCTCTTGAGGTAGTCGGAGTTTATAAGCTACGAGACTTATCCTAGAGAGGATCTCGAAAGGTCCTATGTACCTCGGGTTAAGTTTCCCACGCTTTCCAAAGTGTATCATGCCTTTCCAGGGTAATACCTTCAACAAGACACGATCTCCAACCTGGAATTCCAAGGGTTTCCGTCGTTTATCGGCGTAACTCTTCTGTCTATCTCGTGAAGCTTTTAGTCGATCTCGGATTTGAATGATATTTTTGGTGGTTTCGCGGATGATTTCAGGACCAGTGAGAGTCCTATTGGGGACTCGACACTTAGCTAGTTGCATGTCCCCTACCTCGGCCCAACACAAAGGGGATCTGCACTTGCGACCGTAAAGAGCTTCGAATGGGGCAGCCTTGATACTGGTGTGGTAGCTGTTGTTATACGAGAACTCGATTAAGGGTAAATGAGCATCCCACGAGTTTCCGAAATCGATGACACATGATCTCAACATGTCTTCCAAGGTCTGGATAATTCTCTCACTCTGTCCGTCAGTCTAAGGATGATAAAATGTACTCATATCTAGCTTAGTTCCAAGAGCTTTCTGAAGGGACTGCCAAAACCTTGAGGTAAACCTGCTATCTCAATCGAAGATAATGGACACGGGCACACCGTGCAGTTGAACTATCTCTTAGATGTAAATTCGCGTAAGTCTTTCCATCTTGAATGATTCTTTAATCAAAAGGAAGTGAGCGGATTTTGTCAAACGATCGACAATTACCTAAATGGTATCGTACCCACTCGGAGATCTAGGTAAATTGGTCATGACATCCATGGTGATCATCTCCCATTTCCACTCAGGTATTTCGGGCTGCTGGAGTAGACCCGAGGGTTTCTGGTATTCAACCTTCACTTTGGCACAAGTCAGACACTTGCCCACGAAGGTAGCGATTTCGGCCTTCATGTTTGGCCACCAGTATAGTTTTTTGAGATCCAGGTACATCTTGTCCAAACTCGGGTGCACAAAATATCTAGTCTTGTGAGCTTCACTCATGACAACCTCCCTGAAACCTCCGAACTTTGGGGTCCAGATTCAATCAATGAAACAATAGACTCCATCACCTCTAATCTCAAGATTCTTATCCATTCCTCTCAAGGCTTCGTTCAACACGGTCTCTAGTTTTAGGGCTTCCAACTGAGCCTCTCAGATTTACACGAATAAGTGGAAATGGATGGTCATTATTAGTGTCTTCACTTTGCGACTTGAATTCTCCTTTCGGCTAAGGGCATCTGCCACCAGATTGGCCTTGCCGGCATGGTAGTGGATTTCAGACTCATAATCGCTGAGCAACTTTACCCATCGCTATTGTCTTATGTTTAAGTCTTTCTGATCGAAGATATATTGCAGGCTTTTATGGTCAGTGAAGATCGTGCACATAGTTCCGTACAGGTAATGTCTCCAAATCTTCAGTGCAAACACCACTGCTCCTAATTCCATATCGTGAGTCGTGTAGTTGACTTCATGTGCTTTCACTTGTCTCGAGGCATAAGCGATAACTTTTCCTCTCTGCATAAGCACACAGCCTAAGCCCTGATTGGATGCATCGCAGTAGACAATGAAATCCTTTATCCCTTCGGGCAGGGACAGCATAGGTGCGTTGCACAAGGATCGCTTCGACATTTGGAAAGTAGTGTCTTGCTTTT